TCCTCCTCCTCCATCCTCCATCCCTCCGTCCCCAATACATTCAATTAAGAAACACATCAAGAAATCGACCCACATGGCTGGCCGCCTCAGTGCCATCGTTCATGCGAGCCCCCGGGAAAACGCCCACCACTTGGCAAAGCTTCACCACCTCGGACGGTACGGCGGACCCGGCGGGGCCCTGCAGGGGTGGAGAGGGGGTGTTCTCGTCGCTGTCCCCAAACAAAGCGCAGTTCGAACCGCGCGGTGGAGGTATCAATCGTTGGGGGTGAAGGCATGAACATCAATTCAACTGGCCCACTGTAGTTTGTGGGTCTCGTGGAAGAGCAAAAAACACCGCGGAATAAAGTGAAAAACGGCTAACATTGCTGTTCTGTTGTGAGCTCACCTGGAAAGTTCGATCAATATCAGCAGCTAAGTCTATGCTCTGATGGCCTCTGGCTGGGGGGGAGGGGGCACATCTCACACAGATCAAATGAGCCACCTTGGCGGAAGGATGGGACTCCACTGCTAGAGGTTTGCAAATACACCGACACATCGTTTGATATTATATACCTAGCACTTCCAATGGGTGTCCAATGGTGACCTATAAACAGTGAAGGGTGGTCCATTGGTAACTTGGAAGCAGCTGGTATATATACAAAAACCCACAAGAAGCTGCTGAATCACCATGTTTTCGGGCTTCCGCAACATGAGGGGAGGATGCCCTCTACCCCTGCTACCCCCGCCCTCTACCCGAGCTCCCAACATGCGCGACACGCGAATCTTTTGATCCATCATTTGATCTGCAGGACTCTGGGTTTTGAATCTCTGCGTTCGGATCCCTCCTGAGCATCATCTATCCATAAACAAAAACAGGCTCCCCCATAGCCATGCCCCATGCTGCAAGAAGAAGCGTGAACTTTCCAACAATTGAAGTCTCAAGGGTTTAGTTTATCATAGTTTATCACATGAACTTCTACTTGTGGCAGTCCCAAAATCTCGGAGGACGGGAACCATCTGTTAGATCACCCTTCTGGGCGATGCTATCGATACGTGTGGGGGTGGTGACCTCAGTTCCCGGATGTCATCGTCAGCTCGGGTTCCTTGAAACCCTAACAAAACTATACCTCAAAACCATGCGGCTACTTGGACTGTGCTTTGTAAATCCCAATGTGGTCATGAAACAATCAGCATGAGCACTGGAGTCTCTCGCAAGAAGATAGACTATCTCGAGGAGTGACCAACATTGAGCAACTTGATGCCTGTGTTAGGCAAGGCAGCGAAAGGCCAAAGAGAAGATAGCCCTGAACTGGCACATGGCCCTCTAGTTCCTCTCAAACTCCTTGAGAGAACACACCCAAAGATGCGCGGATGCGAACAAACCCTCCCGCAAATCAACACCTCACCGTCCCTCTCCTCTTCGCAGCTCGATCTGAGGGGACCTTGGGAGTTTCCTGACCAATCCATCTCCACTCTTGGACATTTTTGGATCGCACCAATGCTGCAAGACCTACACACCCTGCGCGTCCGAAGTGGACATGCCTGAAAACCTGTGCAGCTGCCGCAGATGTTACCGAGTGGTCCCGAATGAATGCCCATGCCATTAGTTTTCGCCCTCAGGTTCCTTGGACACGTTAAAGGTCCTACCTGTGTCGACCAGTTCATATTTCGGTATTTGGTAGGCGGTCCCACCAAAAAGGTGCTATAGAAGGAAATACAGTAGAAGCTCAACAGCCAGTTGACGAAGTACTCAGCCAAGGGCTACACCAAGTCTCACTGAGCCTTGCACTCCTGATGGCCAGCTCGTCGATTGGTCTTCTTCCAGGATCGAACTACCCTCCATCACGCATTCACAGAAGTGGAACATAGGAAACTGGCAGAGCATGTCTACCAAGAAGCCTTGCTCAGGATATCCCATTGCTTGTGCAGCGGATGTATCCAAAACCATCTACCAGTGGGTGACGTTTTCCAGTGACCAACCACCCACTGAAAGCTGTCACATGTTGGCAGGTCACATTGTGCAACCCTAGGGGTCCAAGTACCTTCTTAGAAGTTGACTGGAGACACTAGTATGTAGTTGCCAGGAGGGTCCAGTCGTACCGAACCTGAGAAGGTACGACTGGATCCCTAGGGCAATATCAATATCTCTCTCTACCTAATGTGGGGGTGATTGGGGGTGGCAGGTCTGGACCTTCCGAATGCCTGGATGGAGCTGGGAGCAGGCTGGCAGTGGTGAGAGCTGGAACGCAAACAACACCGTGGAATTCGCACGGGACCCTTGCTCTCAAAATGAACTATTTAAAATACTACATATATCTTTAAAAACTCCTGCAAATCAAGTGAAATCTGGTATGTTGGAGCCTTTAAATCACAACAGGAGGAAAGCGGTCAGAGTCATATGACGTATATGACGTCATATTGTGGTGTTGGTTTTGTCCATACTGAATGCTGAGCATGAACGACTTAGCTGAACAATAAAATCCAATTACAAATGACATGATTAGGCCAAATCTCCGGGAGTGCAGGCAGCGCCAGCATTGGGCGCCCAGTGCACATTTGGAGCCGCAAGCTCTCAGGTAGCTTGCCACACGACTACATACAGGCTCAGCTGTGCCAAACTAGCTTGATATTCACTTCATGACCAGCCAATTCAGAAGGCACTTGCGACACTGCAAAGTTGAGTCTGGCACAGTGGCCACCCTGTTGTGCCACTTTCGCTGCCAGTTCCAACGACTCTGACACTTCTTCGCTGCGGCCGGAGTTCGACGAACGAAGAGAACCAAGGCGTGGATCCCAAAGACACTCCCCTTTCAGCAAACCTAGCAACCACCATCAAACCACACATCATTGCAAACCACCATCATCAAACCTAGCAAACCTACCAACCACCATCATTGCAATTATAAGGGATGTATCAAATCCTCGAGCCCGACCAGTCCACCAGCAGGAACAGCAGGAATTGGACGAGGTGCCAGTGCCAAAACCACGGGGTCCATTTGAGACTTCGACGGAAGACCCAGCAACCCACTTCTTCACCACTTTCTGCACCCACCACGAACCAGTTGACTCCCCAAGTTGACTCCCGAAACGACCCCAAAAACGTCCAGCGCTGAAGAAACGACCACGACCCCTGGGCATCGAGCAGGAGAATGAGACCAAGAAATGAATTTATGGCCGTGGGTCCAAACCCGGATAGCTTGGTTGACCTACCAGGCGTCGGTCGTTCGGGCACCAGCAGTCCAGCGGTTTTAAGGGAGCATCATTCGTCTTCAGCGGGGTAGCTAATGGTGAACACAGTGACGCCAGAAAAAAGGTGGACCCTTCGAGAACTCCAGGTCCAGGTGAACCTTGTTCCAGCTGTTCATGTTCACTTGGGAAACCAATCAAGAGGCAGGTTGTTGGTGTGGTAACATGATTGTACCATGATGGACGCCTACATTGCCTATTTTTGAAGCAGCTCTAAACTCTCCTTTGATCCCCTGTGTACCTGGAAATGATCTAAAACGCATGCATGATGTGATATCAATAATAGGGCCATCGCTCATTTGCTTGGGGCTCCTGCTCTCCCTGCCCTATAATCCCCTCCAACTTCGACCAACAAATATCGCAATCAAAATGATCAAAGTTGCTCTTTATTGAATCTGCCTGAAGACCCAAAATCAGTTTGTACATGTTTGTACTCTTTGGTCTTCTTATGTTAGACTGTGCCTCACAGAAACCTCGTCCCAAAGATACATCCACGTTCCTTGAGAAAAACAACACGTCCGGTGAGAAAGACGAAACGTCTCGTCCACGCGTTGGCCGCCGACACCGGAGACTCATCGTCCGTCGTTGCGGCGCCCGGAGACTCATCGCCAACCGAGTCGATGGGTGGAGGTTGTTGTGAGGTCTGAAGTCGTTTAGGCTGGAAAGCCGTGGATACCCCAAACTTGGTTGGTTTAGAGATGGCCATGAAATTCGACACTGGTGAGTTCTTGTGTTCTTGTAAGTGTTCATGAGTGTTCTTCATGGAGTCCTGAAGTACTCACGTCTAAAAAGGTAGCAAGTTCAATCCTGCAAATGATCTTAATTCATTGAGTGAGCAACCCTTGGGAATCTGCCTACCGACTGGAATTGGATGAAATTGAAGTCCCTAGAAGCGACGTTGCTTCCTTCGACTGTCGTCTGATAGGTGATCAATGATCTGGCCCTGTTGCATCTTTGTACCTTGCCAATTCACCCAGCAAGCCTTTGATACAGAGACATCGTCATTTCAATTCGCTTTTCTCTTCGCAACATCACCCATTTCACCAATCCAAACTCAGTCATTTTCCTCCAAGGTCCATCATATGATCTGACATGGGACAGACCTTGCATGGATGCAGGAGGCGGGTTCATTATATAAGTGGCCAAGAAATGAACTCTTCCCTTGGCCTTGGCAATGACTGTCATAGTCATGCTGGTCATCGTGCAGCTTCCTTCAGGTGTGGATCCTGTGCAGTGGAAACCACTGACGTCATGTCAATCATGCCGCTGATTCGGCATTCCGAGAATCCGACGGTTCGAGTGAACTCCTGAGTTCCCGGGATCCATTCGGTTCCACCGGTTACACGTTCCATGCCGGGAGGTGGAGAGGGTCTTTCCTCCTGAGTTTCGGGGATCTATGGCCATGGCTGAACTTGCAAGCTGAACAGAGCTGAAGACGTTAGTCTTCCCCTTTATACAAAACAAGCAGGCAACCTCTGCATACTACAGTAGAGCAAAAAGACGATCCTCAGTAAGAACTCAAACCTTGCTGTCGGGGATTTCATGACAACTAGGTCGATGTCGGGTCAGTCTGGCCTTAAGCTGCACGATGCTCCCCGAACTCCAAGCTGGTTCCCAGGCCCAACTGCTGTCAGACGTGCCATTTCAATCACCTGGTCCTTTCCACATGCAGCGTTCCTGTCACACCCGAAGTCGTCAGCCGGAGCCCCAATGCCCAAGCTCGCTCGCTCGCAGAGCAGAGGAGCCGCCGGAGCGAACGCGCGGCCCCGGATCTCTCAGGCATTTCGGCCTTAGAAACCACGCGGCGATGGAAGATGGCAGCGATGGTCGTCTCACGGAGGTCCCAGGCTAGCCTTTCTACCGATCTTTTCTACTTCATAGTGATGCTTTTTTGATGTTTTGGAATTTGGAATCTGTCTGGAGAATAGTGGGTGGGCCCGCAAAGGTGAGTAGCAAGTGAGCCATTCTTTTTTGCGCAAGTCATTGGACGCATGGCCGAAGTCGTCGGAGGTCCGGGGCGAATCCGCACAGCATCACGAGGTCGGAAGGGAGAGTCCGCTGATTGGCAAGACTTATCAAGACTGCTTTCACTTGTATATTGAAGAACGCAGTCCAGCCTAGCTAACAAGTCCAAAGTTGTGCCAAGTCGCGCTGAAAATGAGAAGATATCATATTTCCAGGTGAGAAACCATGCCTAATTGAACTACACAGGTTGAACACCGTGGCACAGCTGACAATCCCAAGATCTTTCAACAAACAGAAGTCTGGTACCTCCCGGAAGTCTGAATACCACAAAATCTGGAGCGGCCGCTCCATCTGGCGTGAATCCGAAAACAAAAACAACTATATTAAAATATATGTAGAACCTTCTGCGCATCCCATTCCCTACAACAGTGGATGATGATGATTAGCAAAGACCTTTCTCAAAAATAGTGATAATCCTTATTGACCTTATAGGTCATGGGGCCAATCCAAGTAGAACCCACCGACCAGTGCTTTTGGAATACCAGCCGGTTTATGGGCACTTCGGAAGCACCTGTTGGAGGTCCCAGGTAAAATCGGTTCTTCCTCTCGCAACTATGAAACGCACCCATGAAAAGCATCGCACTACATAAGCAACCTCCAGGTCCATGTCAATCATTCCGCCACTTGTGCTGGGTTTGGTTCACTTGCATTCGGCTTGGGTTGGAGCCTTGAATAATCAGTCACGGTATACAAACCTGAACAACAAATGGAAACAAAACCACCTCCTACTGAGTTTTGTAGGTTGGTGTCTATCAAAGAGAGTCGTCTATTTGAGAGTTCTTATCAGCTGGGATGGTGGCAGATGGTGGGTTGAACTGTTTCTTAGTCTTTTTGCAGGAGGACCATCAATCTAATCATCTAATCAATATCCGCTTCATCGGCTTCAATGCGGGTATTTAAACAACATTGCTGCTTCGCTTCGAAGTGTTCAATAAGCCCTGGAATCCTGGACCCTTGACCTAGGGCTCCAGTCGTACCTCCTCAGAAGGTATGACTGGACCCTCTAAACCCACCCCAGTCCCACCTTCGAAACGAAGGTACGACTGGAGCCCTAGGGAAAATGTTCTGCTTCCGGCACATGTGGTCACCCAAATGCTCCAAAGTCTTTCTCAGCACCCCGGCTGCGGCGGTGCGGACGAGACTTGGCTTCCCCCGGGACGCACATGTAATCCTCCTGCGGCAGCGCGCTACTGAAGTGCAAGGCATCTCCAGGTGTTGTTCGAACTATGCGTGGGACACCGCGAAACAGAAACTCGGTGAAACACATGAAGGTCTGACTGCCACACACCCTCTAGACCTGTGTTGCTGCTGTGTGGGCATATTCATGCAACCGGCTTTTTCCCGCACACCAGCGACCCCCCCACCCCCCCACCTCATTCAAAGAGGGAATGCAGGCCTTGAACTGATTGAGGCGAGGTTCATCCTTCGCAGGTCGGATTCCGCGCCGACGACCACGGTGGGCGGAGACGTCCGGCCGGAGTCTTCGTGGGACGGACGGATGCCGATTGGGTATTTCGGATGCAGATTTCATTGAAAACATGTGGAAACCAACGAAGCGAAGAAACCACCCACGACTTCTTGTCAATGGAGGTGGGGTGTGTGGCCCAAAGGATTCAAAGGTCTGTGAGATACAAGGGGGTCCACCCGTTCCATCAAATAAAAGATGCCGACTCCAGCTGGATGAAACCATGTGAACAATTTATCAGAAATTATCTCGAGTCTGCACCCTATCTATATCTATCTATCTATCTATCTATCTGTGTATCTGCTCGCCGACTCCCGGCTACCTACCTTTGACCAAATGCTGCTTGCAAACGTGGCAAATGCAGTCATGACGTGAAAGGACTGGATCATCATCATGACGGCGATGATGACGATCATGATGACGATGACGATGATATGAGGGATACCATAGTTGGGTGATGCCATCCACCACCTATGGTACCTATGTCAATATATTACATATACTGCATGTGTAATTACATACGGCATGGTAGATGATGATGATGATGATGATGAGGAGGAGGAGGAGGAGGATGACGATGACGATGACGATGAGGATAAGGATGAGGATGAGGATGAGGATGATGATGATGATGATGATGATGATGATGATGATGATGGTGATCTTGCTTGATTGATTGATTGACACGTACGAAGCTGCACAACTGGCCATGCACTTGCCGGCTGTTTGATTGATATTCGTCTCCAAGAGCGGTGATCTGGGTACAGACTCCTCGTTCACTCCGAAAAGTGACCGACTCCTCGTTCACATTCCTTGTGGTGAAAAAACCTGGTTTACTTACTTCAAGAGCAAAGCACTTGTGACCTCAAACCTACAGTATACTCAATCAATCCCAATCATGCAGCATAAGCCACGAGACTTCTTTTTCGGAAAGACTGCCACTGTTCGGTTACCACATACCGACCTATATAACTCCATGTCTTCAGCTTGGCCAGACATCTGATCTTGCAACTCCAGCAGAGGAAACAAACGGTATCATCGTTGTCTTCGGTCTTGTCCTTCTTTCGATGTCCTTCTTCTGACTGGCCGACTTCTTTTGCATCACCTCCAGATCTTCTGTCAATCCCTCCAGGGATGCACCCAGGGTAGCAAAATCATACGAGAGCCGCTTAATCCCAGGCTGTGCAATCACCACCTCCTCAAAGATTGTGGAGCCAGCTGCCGCAGCTCGAGGTTTTTGGGAGATGACGACGAAGATGACAGGGATGACTTCGATAATTGGGCAATGACTTCTCTCGTTCTTGGACTTCATGTTGGCCAACTGGTTGCCACCAGCTTGTGAGGGAATAACTGTCGGCGTCCAGGTGTTCAATCTTCGTGTCCTTGATCTGGCCAGAGGCACCGGCTTGCCAATCGGTCTGGCCAAAGGGGTCGAGGTTCCCCTCACCCCAAAAATAGTGCCCAAAGCACATATCAAATAGGTACCGTCGGTACCGTAATGTCCAACGGTGCTTACGCAGATTTGATACTCCAAGTCAGTGATACCGCCTTTCTTCGAACAATGGCACCTGGACGCTACAAAACTATGCAAAGCTGATATATATATATATAAATATAGTCAGGATCGTTCAACAAGAAGCCACTAAAAGCTGGTGAAGGACTTCGCTGGTACTCAGTGCAACTCGGCTTGTCCAATGCTTGAGCGACAACACTCACAACACAAAACACAACGTTACAAATCACGCCCAACATCCAAAACATGCAGTAGCCAAACCTTACGGAACAATCATGATCAACATGTACCGTGCCCAATCTTACGCATGCAGGTTTGCTTGCAAAAAACTCTATATGACATAGACTCCTCTTGCCATGTCAAGGGAGGTTTTGATCTTCAGTCACACAAACTGCCCAGGCTTTGACGTCAAAAAAGTCCTCTAAGACCTCTTGCGGGAGCCAGTCCAACACAGTCTCGCCTGCGAGAAACGCTTGTTGGACCCGAAAACAGTGAAGCTTTGTACAGCCAGCTATGACTCAAGTAAGGTCTCCTCGTTTGAAAGGTCTTGGACTATAGGAAATGTAAGAGGTCTCAATAGGTAAGCAATAGCAAGCAGTTGCAAGGTGCTAGTAGTTCTTGCATGTTCTTGTGTACAACTCACAAATGCAAATGCATCTGTAAAATCCTCCATGACCTGGCAGCAACCTTGTAGTGCATGCAGAATCATGCAGACTATAAGTGACATTGATAGAAAACCTCCAAGGTTGCTGGCCACTTGATGCAAGCTATGGCCACGGGTTGCATTTTGAACAAATGAGAAGCCATTAGCGCTAAAAAACACAAGGTGGAATCACAAAGTCCCACGTGTTTTTCTTGTTTTCCGCTGGGAGCCACACCTGTGCCGAAAATGCGCCAAAAAAACAACGCGAAAAACCTGCATGGCTTCTTCTGAAAGGCTGGAGATCGGCTCCTCCGGCTTTATTCCCCGAAAACAACGGAGGAGCAGGGAGAAGCAGCGGTGTCCGCCATGGCGCCTTCTTCGGTGATGAGATTGGTACTGGCCTGGAAGGATGGCAAGCGGCATGTGTTCTATTTTTTCTGATCGAGGTATTTGAGGCCAACCAATCAATCACCACCACCAAGGACTAAAGGTGGCGCTGACCAGGTGATGGCAAAGCATTGAATTGATGTGTCAAGAGCACGGATCCCTATTCCCCGTTCGCCTCAGGCAAAGCAAACCACAGCATCTGTGCGGTCAGTGTGTCTCAGTTGGCAGTGGCAAACTGGATGTTTTTGGGATTGTTTGGCCACCGTGGCCACCGTGGCCGAACCCACCCAAACGAGTGGGGCGGATCGATTTGTCTACAAGACGCTGGAGGAAAGCTGTGATTGGAAATGGGCCCTCTTCCATGATAAGATGCCAAAAATATAGAAGGCAGGCAGCCTCACGCAGTCTCATGCAGTCTCTATACTCTTTGTATCCGGACCCACCGCACATCACACTTTCAAAGCGATCTCAAACCTTGTCCACTGGTCCACCTCCAAACTCCAAACCAACATGTGTGTGTGTGTGGATTTATTTCTTGGTCACTCCTCGGATGGAAAAAGGAGTGATCTCCACTCGTTCCTTGAGCGGCCTTGGCATTCACCAGCTCCGCAAAGGTCTCGAAGTCACCGGAGGCCGCTGCCAGGTGCAGGGCGGAGACCTCGAGTGACAGCACGGGGGGAGAACCGGGAGAACCGGGAGAACCGCTGCCTAGGGATCCAGTCGTACCGAACCTCAGGTTAGGTCATTGGAGACACTGTGATGAGTCTATAGTACCTTCGAAGCTATGTGGATCCCTAACGATATTGCGTGTATACGAGCACCCGACTTCACAGGTCAACCATTGAGACCTGCTAAGGCCCAACCACTGCGTATAATGCATAATTGTGCATGAATATTGAAATTAGTTTATACTATAGAGTAATATATATGTAGATATTGCATATAAATGTAGTGTCTCTCTCTCTATATATAATATATATTTTAAGCAGTATATGATAGCACAGCACCTGACCATCTTCACCTCAAAAAAATACTCAGGTGTCGTCGTTATCCGATTTGATCACGGTATCACGGATGAAGCTTACGTGTGTCAAGGTGCTTGTCTCCCATCCATTCCGATGCATCCTTGCACAGAAACGCAGTGGCAATAAAAGATCGGTTCTGTGTCACAACAAAAGCTCTTGTTGTCAAACCATGTACCTCTCACATGTGTTTGCGTGGCAATCTACGCGATGGGAGCGAGGGGACCTGAAACAGGTCAAATCCCAAAGACTCCGACAAACTCTTTTTGTGTATCTTGTTTCATGGCACTCGCTGAAAGAAGACTTGTTGCACCAGGCACGAGAAAGCTGGTCCACCTTCAAGCTGGGGCAGCACCTAGCTAAGGGGTCCTGGACTGTTTTGTTAGTTTTTTTGGGATATCCCTACCTGGGTCTGCCACACCATGGGAACAGGCACGATAGGCAAGTGCTAGAATTTCAGTATATATGCCTCTCTCGTTTGCCTCCCCTGTTCCACCACTTCATCTTCCCCAGCTCCACCGCCCCACAGCCTTTCACTGCCCACTCCTCAAAAAATCAAACAAGCGCCCAGCGCGCGCCGTCTCGGCGCGCGTGAGCTGCTTCGGCGCCGCGCGTTCACGGCGCAGTTCGCCTGCCCTGCCGCCAAGCAGCTCCACGCTCGTCGGTGTCGTCGACCCGAGCCTTGGCGGTCAATAGGGTCTTCACAATGTTCAGGTGTCCCGAGCTGGCTGCATACATCCTGCGAGAGCTCGGTGCGGCCGAGCTTTGTGTGAGCCGAGGTCTAGGCCGGTCCAAACGGTGGTTTGGTGCGTCCACCCGCTCGGGGGGGGGTGGTCAAGGGTGGAGCATGAGCAGCTTTGAGCTTGAAGAGGCTCTCGTCACACTCTCTCAGTTGCACACTTTGTGTGGTGCATAGCATGGTTAGAGTTGATCACCCACAATAACTTGAGCATACAAACTTCTTTGACTGAAATGGATCGCATCCACACCTCACTGAGCATCAGCAATGCAAGGTTGGAGGGACATGTTCCAGCTTGTTGAAAAACGTTTGATGGGGCCAAGAAGCTGAACGTCTCCTTCTTTGGGATCGATCAAGCACTACTGGCACTTTGCTGCTTTTGGACCGTGTCATTCATGCCAACTACAACAGCCAATGACGACCCAAAAAGAGCTTCGGCCATCACAAATCTCTTAAGACTCTTGACATTGTGATGTATGACACTGACGAGAGAACGGGTGCTGAGCAGTTTGATCATGTTCCATCAAGTGTTTCTTTCAAGAACGGCACAGGCCGACCATGGCCGACCTATCTCGCCGGTCGAACTCGTCTCGGAGCGGCTCGGCTCGGCTCGCCGCTCTGCATGACCGAGGCACAAGGGCGTGAGTCCACAATTGCGGATGGGCATGCCCTGGTTGTATCTATCCAGCGTGATGAGCTTCAAGGGCTGTCTCACATTCACATCCTGAGCCGGTTGGCGGGGAGGGAGGCAAGGTCTCCACGGTGCCAAGGACTGACCCTTGCCTGGATTCAAGGAAAAAGCAAGGGGGGCTTCTTCAGTTAAATCTCGTGCTATCTTAGAATCTTGCAATTTGCATTGTCTGAACTGCATTGATGTGTTTTGTTCTAAAAGTTTGCAGGGTGGGAGCCCCAAATATGTCAGTATTGGGTCGGTGTCAAAAGCTGTGGATTTAGACAGTAGGTATCGGTATATTACGTGTAAAGAACACTGGCAAGCTAAACTTTCCCTCAAATCTCAAGGATTTCTGATACGGAGAAACCTCGAAACAAATCCAGGAAACGTCCAGGTTTCTGCAATGCATTGCTGAGACGAGCTGTAAGTTGCTGTATAATATGCCGTATTTCTTGGCTTGACCCGTCTGCTTATAGTCTGCATATAAACGAAACAGATAGGGGAGGGCTTAAGGGCCCCCCCTGTGAAAGACCCTAGGAATAATTTAAAATTATTCTGACCCCCCTTGAGTTAGTTTTCAAAAATTATTCTGGTAACTGGTTGAGTTCCAGGAATATTTTTTAGCTTTCTCTATATCTTCATATAAAAAACATATCAACACAGCGACTCACACAGCAAGAGCAATCTGACATAATCTGACTCATATTGTGAAAGACTTCGACATGGCTGCAAAATGCTGCCAATCTAAAATCTAAATCTGAACATTGGTTTTCCTATGTTTTCCTTGGTTTTGTACATGGCCAGCGATTGCTAGCTTCTTGTATTCCTTATATATCCTTATATATATTTGTTGTTTCTTGATGTTTCTTGTTTGAGCCTCTCACTCGCGTCCAGCTGCTGACTTCAGATCATCAAACGTCGCAACTTGAGTATTCTTGAAAATTATTCCAGGGGGCCCTATGACTAGCCTTTTGATAAAATATTAATCCACCAAAAATATTCCAAAAAAATTATTCCGCTATCCCACAGGTCCCCTGGAATAATTAAATAAGCCATCCCCTATCGAAACAGTCACCCCAACCAAGCCTCCACACTCCACATGCGCTTGGTTCTCGCATCGACCTCCGAACCTCCAAAAGGTACTGAGAGAACGACCCTCGAACGACCCACCCATCGTCGGAGCCGAGATCGGCGTGGCGGTGTGGCACGGAGGACGGTTTCCCCGCGGCATGCACCACATGCGGCATGCCACAGGTGGAAGGAACATGAAGGAACCAGCTGTAGTTGGACCCCCAAGAAGAAAGTAGATCCCCACCCAACATGTATTGGAAACATTTGGAAACCGTTGTTCACTTCTTGGGGACCAGCTTTGTTGGTCCAAGACTCCGCTTTGTTGGCGATCTGCTCCTTGAGCTGGTTCAGGTTCCCATCACGCGCGGCGCGGATCAGCTGGTGTTCCTTCTTCATCTCCTGCTCCTGGAGAAACGGTTCTCCTTTCTCCGTCCCTCAAAGCAGCTGGATAGAAGGACGTGGACGATGTGGACGTGGAACACATCATGCCTCCAATAAGAAGGGGAAGATCCGGCTCCTCATTTTGAGCCTTTCTCCGTCCAGCATGGGATCATTAGCTCCAGTTGTGGCCGGACAGGCCCGGCTACAAGATTCACAGGAACCACAACTGCCGAGCAGACATGTATCAAACCACAAATGCAACGTTTCACTTCAAAGATGGTCAAGCATGACAGGGACTTCTTGCCACCTGCTCAAGGCCTGTTGCAAGGCCAACCTCTTTTCAAGGCCAACGCGGTCATGTCAAGGACCCCTCCAGAAACCCAATGGTCGACCAGTCCTATGGGGGATCGTCGCCTCCCCAGCCGCGTGCGAGGGTTCACACGCGCCGCCCCCTCTGTCTGTCTGAATCGGGTTCGGTAACTGGTATGCGTTGTCCTTGACGTTGGCCTGCAACTCATTGATGCAATCCTTAGCCGTGAGGCTGGGGAGTGGTGCCAGTGAGGTTGGGGAAAACAGAGTGCCAAGGCTGGGAGACAAGATTGGGAGTCGAACAGCTCAGTAGATGACGCTATAAGGTATATAGATTACCCCTGTTTGAGGATTCCACATCTGCGAAGTTGTCGCAGTGGTCGTAGGTGGTCCTGGAGTCCTGCCTACCTTTCCCATTCCTCCTTCGGATTGGACCCTGGTATCGGGCCCTTACCATGCACCTGGGAGGATATCTTCTGATGCATGCCGGGCAGTGCCAGGTGTGCACAGCCCGCCGGACTCCTACTATCATCGGACCATCGGCAAACAACATGGAGAACGTCACATCCCATGGAGAACGTCGGAACCGCGCCGTTCGTTCGCGCGCGAAAACGGGACGGGACATTCTGAAGAAAAATGGCCCGCTTGCATATGCTTGCATCAAGAACGTCATTCCAGCAGTTGTCCTTCTTCGAGGGCGTTCAACATAAAACGTGCTTGTCATTCTAGTGGTTTAAGCTTTGAGCAGTTGGATATCAAAATATAATGTAAATGTAATTGTCCAATGTGCACATTGCTGCTTTGAAGGTCCAGGTTCGTAGATTTTGACATTCACCACACCCACCAAAATGGACATCCCTTCAGAATCATGCGTCTGCTTGTCAGGTCTACCTAAAAGCAAAACCAACAAAAAAAACTATAACAACTCCATAATCTCTTTCTTCACGTCACCAATGCACATGCGGTGATCTCTCTCTCTCTCTCTGTCATCTCTCTTCCATGGTCCTCTGGAGTGTCCCTTCGATTGCTCCTCACGGGGTCCCTTCAAGTTCCCACGGGTGGTGTGCCAACGTCGAGGTGCGGCAGTGTCGCAGGCGCGATTGCATTCCTTGGCCGCGAGGGAACTATCACAGCCGCCCATCTGCAGGGTGAACACACGAAAAATGACGGATCGGGCAGTGAATAAACCTCAAAAAGCAAGCCTTTCTTGGTGGGTGAACACTTATGCGGCGTCATTCATAGTAAGAAAATTCTTCGGCATTACCTCTAAGTTAGGGTAGTGCTACTAACTGGATCAACAAATGACAAACGGCTAGTCTATGAACATCATAATTAAATGACATCATCAAAAGACCGAAGTGGCTTGTCTCCGGCGTTTCTGTTCCCCCCGTTCACCAAAAGCTGATCGTTATTGTTATTGGGCATGCCACGAATAGTGCACTACTCTTGCCGAAACCTAAACCAAAACCAACCATATAACAACATTACATCTAATAGTCAAAGACTCTCCACCCCTTATGCTCGTCGGCTATATGTTTGTTGGGGGAGAGGGGCTGGGACAAGTGCGGCTGTGCGCGGCTGTCTGACCATATTCTGGCTTCACCACCTTCTCCCCACAAGAAGAGATTTGCATGAGATCCCGCGAATCAACAGGGCCCTAACAAGCCCCAACAGCTTGCCCGGCACAAGCCCTGGAGGCCCTGGTCCATGAACAACACTTGAAATATGCATCTTGCCAGCAAAACTTTGGAAGAACAGCCTGTAAATGATCACTTGCGGTATTTCTCATCGTCGGACGGACATAAACAGTTCTCAATGCCCTCAATGTATATCTTGCCGTGGGATGAAGCCTTCAGGTCAGGAGAGTCCAACTGGCGAACCCCGAACACCTTCCCAAACTCTACAGTATAGTGACACTACATGTATGGAATAATTATTGATATATGGTTGAAGCGGGGTCAATGTGGGCATATCTTCCAGTCCGCAGTGTCCGGGCTTGGCTGAACTCCGCGCCGCCCGGCCGCGTCCGCCGCTCCTCCCACGGCTCGGTGAGGCGGCTGGTTTCGCCCAGGTGCGGGCGTCCGGCAGTGGACGGTGGGAGTGTTGCCCATGACGACGGATCTGGACAGCGGACCGCGCAATCGGTGGTCAAAGCGGAAGGCCGGGAGCCGTGGAAAAGGAGATGCCGAATGCCAAGCAGAATGTGGTGCCAGGCTAGCTAGTTCGGAAGATGCCACTCAAAGTTGACCTCAAATACACGCAAACAATATAGTGTGAGGCTTTGGACCTCAAAAGAGATGTAGTGCTTGAGGTCCATGAGCCCTTGGGCTTGATGCCAATCAAAGAGTATACTAGACTATATGCCTATATGCACTGGATTACTAACCACCCAAATGTAGTACAGTAGTATGACATGACATGTCAAGGAATGGCGAGAAAGCCCAGTTCAAGTGGCTTTCGCCTCTGATTCTCACCATGACCGTCTGATGTCGGCCAAAAAGTATCACGTCTTCCCGTCGGGTCTTTCGCCTCACGAGTTGCTGTAGTCGAAGACGCACCACAATGTGCGTGCGCGATCCGCGCCGGTGGGGAATAATCCGTGGCCTAAAAACTGGATGGCTGAAAACGTGTGTGTGCGTGTGTTTCTGCATGTGGCTTTGCAGTGATGGTTGCTGCAAAGCTCTGGTGATGTGTTGGTTGGCTAAAGGCTCCAAAGACTGAGCTAGCCGCTCAGAAACGCATCTCTTTCCGACTCCTGTACTTCTTACACCAGGCGCACACCTACACCCCCGCGTGAAGTCCAGGTCTGTTTATGAACACAACACCCGTATTTTGTGACCCCATGAACCTGTCAAACGTGATGTCGTGGAGCTGGCCATGGATTTTGCTGGTAGCCCAAAAGGTGCCAGTTCGTGCGTGCAAGTGACGTGGAGCCGAGCATTTGTGCAAGAAAAACACTGCAAGAGTGAGACTGCCAGTGGGAGTCATGACTCAATCTGTACACACCTCACCTTTGGACGTCTGGAAGCATAACAAAAATACACATGGATGCGGTAGACCAATGGTGGATGTGATGAACGCTAGTGGATGAAAGTCACATGGGTTTCCCTCTCGAAGTACATAGTGGTACAGTGGTACCAGTACAAATACCACTGACATGCCACAAGCAGCTTGTCTTCCAGTCAATATAGAACTTATTTCAGAACATATCCAACCCACTACCAACACTCAACCTTACCCATTGATGAGTTCAACCTGTACACTCACAGCTCATAGACCCTACCGACCCCATTTGAACACGCGCAGCTTTGATTCCAACGGCCCGCCCCCCGAAACACCGAGAGCCGGCATTGGGGTCCAAAGCCCTATATGACTTCAATGCGGGTTTGCCCAAAGCACCCCCAAATATCCCAAAATCAGTGGTATAGTGTGGACTTCAAGCATCTCAAAGAGTTCATCATCCACCCGTCCTTCACCCAAACCCTTCCAATGGCTTTGCCATGCTTTGCCGGTGTATTCGCTGGACAAGGGCATTGCCGGAGACCAACGGGCGCTTCATCTCGGTCCATCTCTGGGATACCCCGACTCCACGCGTCAGCTTGGAGGTGTCATCCTCGCGCTTTTTGCGCTCGGTTCTTCTTCGAAGGGCTCACGGAACCGTACTTCCAGTGCCAGGCCGACTGGTCCGAATCCGTGCGGTCCGAGCAGTGCCATTTCGGAGAGGGCCCACCGTCTCATGGGGGCGGGGTTCATCCGTCTCATGTCGGCCACGCTCGGCCAAGCGGCCAGCGGTGTTGGTTTCTCCGGACTCCATGGGCCCGGACGTCGGCACTGCGAGCTGCTCGGGGTGCGACCGAGGGTACCCGAGAGTCCATGGTCTATAGGGCTTTTATACATGACTACCCCAAGGGTCTGTGGGGCTCACTAGTCAGGTACCTGGACTGTGACTACTGCAACTAATTAGACATATGTTGGGGCATGTCTTCGGTCCATCCTAGTACCAGCAACAATGGATGATGATTGTTAGTAAAGGCCTTGTTCAAAAATAGTGATACTTGTTTACTGACTGTTACGGGTAGTAGGACAAACCCAAGGTATATCCCATGACCAGTGCCCAATGGATGATGCTTCACTTTGACAAGGACGGCTCTACAGGCCATAGGACGGAATCCCAAAAACCCAAAGTCTAAATCGGTGTGTATTCTAATAATTAGGGCGATCCCCACCCAATGGGTTTTGGTTTATTTTCATATATATGTTCATTCTTCCGCTGGTCTTTGGCAGGTCTGCCTTTATTTATTAACACACACCCAAATCAATATGGAGTCTCTGAGAATTCTTCGTCCATGTTGATTAATTACACAGCCTTCCTCAGGTCGGAGATTAAGCCGGCTCGTTGGCTCCTCCAAGCGTTGGAAGTTCTTCTCCGAGACCTTCCTCGGACGGCGAAGCCGGTGGGCAAACAGCGGGCGGCGAAGCCGGTGGGTCGGGCGTTCTGAAGGTGCTAAGGAAAACCCCATGGAAAACCAACACACGGACCTGAGAGGGGGGGCTCAAAAGGGCTGAAGCACTACAAACATGAACGAACTCATCCCACGACTGAGGCTTGTTTGAGGGTCTTGTACAACAACACGTCGTTTTTCATCAACATGATCGAGTCCCAAAGTCCGACATGATCCTCAGCTTGTCTCCAACATGAAGAGACAAGTGTACTTTACTTCAATTGGTTTCACATCCGGATCGATCCGTATCGTCTTTCGTCTCACTTGCTTCACATCCCGAGTCTTCGGTACAGCACGTCGCGATCGATCGAACAAAGGGCGCGAGTGGCTTTGGTCCGAACAGCACGACTTCGGGTCAGGGGACACGCTCGGGTCCCTCGTCTCCCTCCGTCTTGGAGGGCAGGTTTCGCCGGACCAACGCCAATTTGGGGGACTCTTTGGCAGTCTCCAGTGAGGCTTGAGAGAACTGATGTGGCAGGTTTTGAGGATCTGGGGCGAGGACGGAATGTGGGGGCAGTCTCATGGTGAAAAGACCCGTATACCGTACACCATCATATACCCCCAAATAGGATGCACAAGAGACTGCATGTACCATCTTAAATCATCTTAAATCTAGTTTGCTGACTAAGAGGCAAACTGACTCGACAGCTTCGGGGAAGACTGCATGAGCGGTAAAGAGACGTATACCATCGTATACCAAATGTATACCGGTTGACCTATAATGCCAGCGAACCCCCAATTCTCATAATTCTCTCAATGTTCAACACTGTTCAACAGTCACTTTTGCTAGATACCCCAAGGGGTTGACCTTTGTAATTGCTGATCATGGACGCTCGACTCAACCAATGGCCGCATGCGTTTTGCCCTTTTAGATCGTTTTAGAGGGTCGGTGTGCTTGATTATGCTTGATTGATGGGTGCCACATCACCGTAGAGTGGATCCAACTCGTGAGCGCAGTCCTCGCAAAGCTTCTGGTCAACATGCAGTGGCGACATGCGAGACGGACTGCCAAACATCCTCTGTGAGACATCGACTCCCTCCACACGGAGTGGAGGAGTCACTTTTGGTTAAACTGGCACGGTCAAAAGGCAAGGCGTCTTGCCACTCGAAGCGTCGATCTTCAAGGCCTCCAAGTGCTTGGAGGTCATGAATGATCGTGAGATGTCTTGAGTCGTGAGATATCTTATAGCTGATCAAATCAAATCCTCCAGCGGCGGCGAGGTTTATCAGAATCTAGAAGCCACCAAAGAATGACATCTATGGTCCAAAATGGCTAAGTATGTTTTGGACTCCTGCTCGAGAACGATAGATCTATATGCATCAACAACATCCCAAAGTGCACTGATCATAGGCATCGGCAGCATCGGCATCTGTTTCTTTCCATATATATATATATATACACCTTACATATGCCTCATATCTCTCTCTGTTGATCTTCACCGAATTTGTTGGGCGCTCCGTCGCCTGCAGCTGCACCACCATCTCTCTGCACTGATGTTGGAAGTCCGCAGCTTCCTGGATCCTCTTTTCGAAAGCCTCACCTGGTGCGGGGTCTGCCAGCAGAAGCACCACCGCGGCAGCTCGGGCTGTAAAGGCGGGTGAGGAAGAAAGGAACATGTGAAAAGCCTGGACATGCCTGGACAATTCATATATAGAGCCAATTGCGGGTGTTGTATAGGAAGCGCATGGACCCCGCAAAGCCACATCCATGACGGTTCCGAGCATGTTCCTAGACCCCAAGTCGTCCCAAAGACAGTGTTGGTATTCGGAACATGCTTTTCCATGGGTCAATTCTCAGGGTCTAGTGATGTTGCAGTGAGTCGGACACTTCCTCTGCGCACACACACACACACAAAGACCCGTTTCAAACGGCCGGGCTTCTGGGAAACAACTTCACAGGGCAACGCCGAAGCCAAGCCCGCGAGGTGGGAGAGTCACTTTGGAACACAAGTTTTAGGTCCGAAGTGACTACACCACCAGCACGCGACGGGCAAAAAAAGGATCAACTTTCCTGGATGGTAGCTGCCCATGACCAAGTAAGGGGCCAAATATATACCATGTCCTGACACAAGGAGTGATATCTGATCGACAATACGGAGGCGACTAGCCAAATTATGAATGATGATCTGACTTTACACCCATATGGTACCCAGGTACCCCACTGGGTACCCCCTTCCGCAAAGCAACGCATGTCAAACTCTGACAAGCGACACACTGCGGTGAACTGCTGATCAATCTTGGCTGACAAGGAGCTCGGGACCTTAGTGGGCAAGCGCCCAGCAGCTTCAGCACGAAAAGCCCTCCAGCAGCTTCAGCTTGAGAAGCTGGTTCCCTGGAAGATACCCGGAGGAATGCAGTCGTCACAAATAAATGGGCATTCCGTGGGCATTCTGCTCGCCAGGCACGGTGTAGAGTATGTATACTGTATACAGGTGTTATGCAAATTTAGTGAAGCTATGGCACCACTTCTATGCCTGAAAGTTGCTGTGAAGGCAAGGGCTACGGCTACCACCCCATACGACGTCCCATGGATGGTCTGGGTGTGTTAGTTTGACTTGGTCCACCCTGTGCTTGGCAGTTCACACTCCAACAAAGTGTAACATAGGCCAAGAATATCTGACTGTTACCTGCTGCAGTGTTTGCGGTAAACAAGTCCAACAAGAACATTCAAGAACAAATACAACAACCAAAGGCAGCAGCCACATGAACAAATAGAAGCAACCAAGCTTCTCTGCAAGAATTGGCACTCGTTCTTCTATCCTAATCACTCTAACATTGGCCGGTATGGCTAAATAAAGGCCATTACCAATAGGAACTCACGATATTCTGTTGCCGACAGCTACTGCGACCAATTAGATCCACTGTCTGCACAATAATCAAAGAAGTGGAGCACACCCACCTTCCAAAGGGCTTGATTCCGCTTCCATGTTTGTTCAACACATGGTAGACAAACCGTTATTTTTGTGAATATGGCTCAAGCATGTTACCATTCAAACCCACCATGGGACCATGTGGTCTGAGTGCTTTTTTGTATTTCTTTGAGTCAGGGTCTCACCATCTGCCACGGGGGTCTCCTTGAATGGCAAGTCGCAACACCGTGGGCATTCTGCTCATGTCCTTCGTTGCCCTCATTGCCTGAACCCAGCGAACCAACCGGTCCAGGCAATGCATTGTATCTTGACATCTCTTGCCCGGACTTACCCCGGCCTCCCAAACTGAAGTTCAACCCACAAATAGATGCCCCTGAGCAGGTGGAACATCCAATCCTAACCACTCTTCCAACTCTAATCCATGGAAAGTATCAAACAGGCCCAGAGGGAACAGCCCAGAAATGATCAAACGATGACTGTCCAAAGGGAACAGGCGCAAACCCCTCGTGACCGGAAGAACCAGGAGATAGTTCGGTCACTATGGTCACTTGGTCACGAACAACATGCGGAGAAGTTCAACCTATGAGAATCAACATGAATCAACCAAATCTTTTTGCATATCCTGGACATCGATTGGCAGGAAAGCAAGCACATGAGTATTGACACGTAAGTCGTGTGAATTTTGCCCAGATCGGCCCCCCTTTCTGAGCTGCCCCAAACTGGGGGTGTAACTCTTACCGCAACGTGGCGCAACACACGGCAAGCAAGCGTGGTTCAAAAGAAACAGTCCACTTTCACAACCGTCTGTCCAATTCAATTAGCTCAACCATTTAAGCCTAACTATATCTAATAGTTGTTAATAATCTATAGTGCCCTGTCCACCAAACACAGTATTGCGCCTCAAAACTCTACCAATAACATCATGCGGAACACAAAAAAAACATAACAAATACACAAAATGAACATATGGGCTACTCATCCAGTGCTTCTTTTCGTTTCTTGTCCAGCTGTTCTGTGGCTACCTGTTGCGTCTTGCCGCTATTGAGCAGCTCTAGCCCTAGCTTGTTCTTTTTTGTCGTGGAACCTGTTCAAGTTTCAATTCTTGTACACTAGGTCCTAGGTCCTCCTATTTCCTCTTCCTTGCGCCCCGTTAGTGTCCTATCTTCCTGCCTATCTGCCCTTTTCCCAGCTGGACCCCTTCACAAAAGCGTCGTCGCGTAGTATCGCGTAGTCTTCAGACTGGTCTTCAGTTCTGAGGTAGATGAGGAACGTCCTTCGTCTCCCCGTGCCCCGTGGATCCGAATGTGAGGTGTACCAGGCTCCGGAATGAAGAAGGCACAACAGCACAACTGCGCTCGTCGACTTGTGTGGCTCCAGTGCTGCCAGGGCACCACCGCAAACGGTACCTTCACTGCACTCCTCGAACTGCTTCCAGCGAGCCACCTGAAAGCCGAAGAACCTGAGACACCTGGACCTGGAGCACCAACCGGGTTGACGAAAACAACGCATGGTTTCGGATTTGATCACCACCGCGCCACGGTGAAAAGCAACAAGTTATTCATGGGGGGCGTTTTGACGAAGAGGCGGAAGGCTGAGGCGTTTCATGCCTCGTTTTGCAAGAAAATCATGTGCAGCTGAGGAAATGTGCTGTGTTTTTTACAGAAGCAGGCTATTGGATCAAAAAAATACTAACTTCAAGAACTCACTTTGACTTCCAATTTCTCTTCTTATCCTTCTTGTGGATTCAAAAAGATTGAGAACTCTGGAAAAAACGTCTTGTAGCAAAGACAAGACCCATCATATTTACCTACTAATTATGTTGGTGGGTAGCATCTACATCGCGCAAATCTGGGGGTAGAAGCACTGAACTGAGACCTGCGGGTGCTCGCCGCCAGCGCCGCGACCGCCGCGACCGCCTGGTCAGGCCGTGGCAGGGCGTCCAGCACCAGCAAAGAGGCCTTGGCCAATAGAGGCTCCAGCTCCTCCTCAGCAAGAGCTGCAGGAAAAAATGGGGGAGGTATGGGGAGGTGCATGGTCGGTGACGAAACGTCCTGAAGTCACCACA